TTATAATACCCCATACACTGTAACAAATTTAAACGGTCTATGGAGCTCCCGTTACAGTGGGTCGATGTGAAAGATTTCATTCATGACACTATTCTAATAGAGCAGTGGTGCTTCAATGGCGGCATGCTCAATTAAGGACAAGAATACTAGTGCCTTTATAGGCATTTTCTTCAATAAGTGGTAGCAACCGTATCTGGTCTGGTTCAGAAGGGAGCAGTGAGTTCCGCATGATTTTAAAGATATACGCTCTTACTTATTCCTCCTTCTCCTTTCAGTATGGGCTCAACACGTCTCTGTTTACGTCCCCCACCCCCTCCTCTTGGTATTAACTTTTTTATTTGATGTATTTATCTTTTATAGAAGCGTCTTTAGGGAAAAAATTAATTTAATTTTTCCTGGCTAATTGCGCTTGTGATTCCAAAGTTGAGTACTTTCCTGTATCTGTGATTTTGACAAAAAAATGGAAATGATGTGTGGTATTGTTCTGTATGTATAAGTAGGGAGTAGGGATATTAGATAAGATCGGCTCTCGCGATTGCATAACCGACTTGGCGCCTAGCTATTTATTTTAGTACGGATAGGTATGTACGATCCAAGTTCAACATCTGAATTTATCTTACTAATTGAATTTTGAGATTCCTGTGCAACCTTAAAACTTTCACGCGATCACTGAATGTATATTGATCTGAATTCATGACATGTAATTTTTAGGTACTTATGGCACACTAAGTGCATGTAACTAATGAATAATATTTGGATAAGTAGCATTGATAATGATCAATTTTTGATGGTAAATAGATTTTGAGTCGGCCTTTCCCAAGCAGCTCAATGGGTATCAGATTTGGCACACAAGTATTTTAGAATGTATAGGATTTGTCAAAATCGTTACTTTTCACCAATGTTCATGGTAAAACGTGCAAACCAGTGACCAATCCAACATATGGCCCATTTGGTTGTGGTCCCATTTGTCAAGATAGGGGCTTTTTACTTCATTAACAAGGCCTTTTTGTTTTTGTATTAGTTTCGAGCGGTTCTAATCACAGAAGAATAAATAATTATCCTAATTCATTCCTTGAACCGGACGCTGCGTAATTTACGGGGAATTACCTCACCACGTAAAACTTGTTAGGAAAAAAAAACAGCCAAAGGTAAGTACGTCTAGTGTTTACAATAAACACTTCTTATTAATTAAATAATCCGTCAACTTCCTGTCTCAGAGCGATATTTTTTTAACACACTTGCGGTGGCAATAACCTTTCCAACCTGATCCTAAGTAAGGACGCTCGCCGAGGTTTTAAAATTAAAGGGGCACCTTCACTTTTACAATTGGGTGATGTGACACAATTTACAAAAATTACGGGTTTTACTAATTGGGTATTATAATACAAGTATGTAAACTAGTTCTGTGAATCTGTATGCCATTACTTTGTAGGGAAAAACGTATTGAGAATGAAATTGAGCTCCAATTGGGGCAGAATCAATATCGACCAAGTGACCTAACACAAACCCGACATGAGGTTTGGGGTTAAAATAGGGCGAATGTCACACGGGCTTTTTTTGAAATTCGCATCAACCTTGAATTGAACCTGTTTGACAATAAACAAATTAGGTGATGTTTGTCTGTAATTATAGATATAAATCTTCCTCGGAACCCTCCCAAAAAAATGCGGATAGATGTGATGCTGATTTTGGTCTTTTACATTCAAAAATATACCCACTAGTGATTTGGTGTTTGATTGGATTTTCCAATATTCACCATAATGATGGGAGGGTGCTGTGGTGAATATAAAAAAATCAAAAAAACGTGTCTTCAAGTTGTCAAAAATGGTTATTCATTTTTCAGATCTGATTTTTCATTATAAGAAGGCCTAAAACAGTAAAACCGATGATACTTGGAGCCCTCAAGCACTTGTATTCAAGAAAAACTTTGGGGACGCCACTGCACTTAATTAAAATTTGAAAATATTTGCTCGCGTAAGAGATACGAGGGAAGATAAAAAAATTGTCCATTTTGGAGTGGTACTTTGACTATATGTTTTTGTAAATAAGTATACTGGGTCAGGTAAAAAAGTCATTGGACCTAACCTCATTTTTTAAATAGAACATCTTGCATATTTTAATCTGAAAAATATGATATTAAATTCTCTTTTCAAAAATATAACACTCGAGAATGATATTAATAAAAGTTAAAAAAAGATTTAAACAAAGATAAAAAAGGTTCACAATGTATCGTGTGTCCCTTTAAAAAAATGACCCCCGTATACTTATTTTGAAAGGCAGATATTCAATCTATCATTATAAAGAAACGTTTGTAATAAACATTTTTTTAAATTAAAAAACTATAAGGTCCTTTTGAAATTGATATTTTTTAAATTCTCTTTTCAAAAATAAACACACCAGGGATGATATGCAATAAAAGACTCAAGTGATTCAGCGACAAAAATATTCAAAATTATTAAAAAAGATGTAAAAAATTAAAAAGAGATTCACATGATTCAAAAAATACAATAAAATTTCAAAAATATTGTTCAATTTTTTTTCGAAAATCTTTCTTTAATCTTTTTGAATCAATATTGCATTTTTTAATGTTATATTTTCAAAAAGAGGATTTAATATACAATTTGTTTAGATTAAAATGTACAGTGGTCGATTAAAAAAAATTAGGTTAGATTCGATATCTTTTTACCTGACCCCCTATACTTATTTTGAAAACGGCTTATTCAGTCTATCGTCATAGAGAAACGTTTGTAATAAATAAAATTTTAAATTAAAAAAATATTGGGTCTTTTTGAAATTGACATTTTTTAAATTCTTTTTTCAAAAATAAACACACCAGTGATGATATTTAATAAAAGGCTGAAGTGATTCAACAAAATTAAAGAAATATTCAAAATAATTTAAATAAATAAAAAAATATTCAAATGATTAAACAAAATTCACTAAAATCTCAAAAATGTTGAATTTTTTATTTTTTTGAAAAATTTGTTGTATTCTTTTTGAATCAATATTGCATTTTTTAATTTTAATTTTTGAAAAGAGAATTTAATATGCAATTTGTTGACATTGAAATCTATAGGGTGTTACACTTAAAAAATGAGATCAGGTCCGATAACCTTTTTTCCTAACTTTTCTGTTCTTTTAAATAAGAAAATATAATACAGGGTCAATTTGCAGTTGGCGCCTTTTTAAATTTTCCTTCGTATCTCTTGTGCAAAACTTAATATTGTTAATTATAAACAAGGAAGAATGAATCCATCCCTCACCGATGCAGTTGAGATGTGCATTTGTACAGGGTGTCCCATTTTTGAAACTGTCATAGGTGTCATTTGGTCCTTTTGGGTGAAACTTAAAATTAAAATCAAAATATTCGCTCGCTTAAGCTACGAGGGAAAATAAAAAATGTCCATTTCATTTTCTTAGGTAGAAGAGTGATTGTTAAATAATCTGACCTTTTCGAAATAAGTATACGGGGTCGGGTAAAAAGGTTATCGGACTAACCGCATTTTTTTTAATGGAACATCATATATTATCCTATATTTTAATATCAAAAGATACGATATTAAATTTTCTTTTCAAAAATATAACACCAGTTTCAAAAATATTTTTGAATTTTTCAATTTGATCTTTTTGAATCAATTTTTTGTAATTTTTTAGTGTTATATTTTTGAAAAGAGAATTCACTATGCAATTTGTTTAGATTAAAATATACATGGTGTTCGATTTAAAAAAAATGAGGATGGATCCGATAACTGTTTTACCTGGCCCCGGTTACTTATTTTGAAAACGGCAGATTATTCAACAATCATTATAAACCAACACTTCTTTTAACTAAGAAGGCAGTTGAGATGTTTAAATGTACAGTGTATTTTCATCACTTTTCTATAATATATTACTAATTGTGTGTGCTATATGTATATACTAGAATTATTATCCTTTAGTTTATTCCTGTGAAAGAAATTATCCTAGCACGCTCTGTATATAACTATTTTGCCCGTCCTTGTGTATATTCTCACTTGTTATGTGTGGCGCATGAGCCGCCGAAATTAGAATTAATGCAACCGAAGAAGAAAAGATGTCGTCGTACTACCATCAATAATAAGAGCGTGTCTGTTAAGAAGCAGCACGCCATTTTCGTCGAACCAATTTGTAGCACAACGTGAAACCATTCGTCGATAGCATCGTCTTCGCCAAACCAGAATCGTTGTCTTAACCACTCCGTAATCTACGCTGTGCATAACTGAATTTGTTGTTTTTTTATAAACACGCATAAACAGGCTATTTGCAGAGTGACCCGCATAATGCTTTTTAAAGGTGCCCCTGCAGATGGTCTTAAGTTGTTCTATACTACTCCGGTAGGTATACAGGGTGTTTCGAAATTCGCGCACACGGGCTATGGGATGGTGTTATACGACAAAAACTGAACAAAAAGTTCCTCTACCAGTTTTCCATCAGATCGCTATTTTTCGAGCTACCGCGGTTTTAAAAATCTCCCCCCCCCCCCCCGTACGCTGCGTCACTGGTTAAACTTAATAATAACACATTTTTAAAAACAAAAGAAGGTTCAAAATAAACTATAATTATGACGAGGAAGTACGTAATTACAACAGTTGTTCAAAATGTCCGTCGTCCGCTAGTAAACAAGCTTCAGCACGTCGAAAAAAAAGTGCCGGTCTGATCAAAAACTGGTAAAGGAACTTTTTATTCAGTTTTCGTTGTATAACACCATCCCACAGTCCGTGTGCGCGACATTCGAAACATCCTGTATACCTGACGAATTAGGAAAACCTAATTCGGAGTAGCCGGCAGAATACTCGAAACTGATCTAAGGAAATTCCCATCTCTGACACAGATGAAAAATTTTTACCTCAGCCCAGGTTCGAACACCCGACCTCCGGTTAGGTGTTAATGGTTTCCAATTTTTTCTAATGTGAAAACCAAAAATGTTGCCCCTGTCCAAACGGTGAAGACAAACTTTGTTTCAGTGATTTCTATTGTAAATACACATTTCACAGTACACGGAGTATCTGTCAGACAATATGACAACTGGAATACTGTCGTCGTTTTACAAAGAAATAGGAGGGATGTGAAGAGGAACACGGCCATTGTGTGATTTTTTGAAGATGGGAAGATGCAACAAAAGCGTTTTATAAAAATGAGGTGAGATACAAAGACCCACAAAGAGCAATAAAACATAGTGAGCTCATATCATGTCACAAGCTGTCGTCCAATCTAACCATGATTTCTAAAACTGGTAAGCAAAACAATCAAAATATTCTCGTACAATTTCAAATCCTGGCCCTTCTGTCATTCCTTAAGAATTGCAACCCCTTCTGCGAAAAAAAATGCAAGGCGAATCGTTACTGGTTGCGCCAATCACTGCCCGAAGTAATCGAGGACGCGGACGAATTGTTTTCGAACGAGAAGTACATGGAGGTTTACGAGCTGCTGAACAGGTTGAAATTTCGGGAGGACGCCGAGGTGCACTGGAGACTGTGCCGCGCGCTTTTCAAAATGTCCAGCAATAACTCACTCTCCAAGGTCGTTCGCAACGAGATGATCAGCGAAGGATACGAGCTGATACGAAGGGCCCTCGAACTGTGTCCGAACAACGCGAACATTCACAAGTGGGCGGCGATCATAATCGACGCGAAGAGCGGCGCCGAAGGCACGGTCTCGCGCATTCACTCCTACGGAATGGTCAAAATTCATCTGCTGAAAGCGGCCGAACTAAACCCGAACGACGTGACCGTTTATTACATGTTGGGGCACTGGTGTTTTGCGTTGAGCAACATGACGTGGTTCCAAAGGAAAATTTGCAGTTTGCTATTCGCCGCCTGCCCCACGTCCACCTACGACGAAGCGCACGCTTACTTTGTGAAGGCGGAAACGACGAAGCCGAGATTTTACATACCCAACCTGTACCTGTTGGGATGTACCAGTTTTTATCTGAACGACTTCTGCAGGGCGAGGTATTACCTTAGTGTCGCATCTAACTGTACTCCTCGAACACGTTTTGAAACCGAATGCGTTGTTGCTGCCAGAAGGCTGAATAAACCACTTTTGGAACAAAATTCGCCAAGTGACTAACATTGTAATGTTTATTAAATCGTGGTGCCAACTCTTCCCTTCTTTTCTCATTCATGGCTCTCGGTGGAACACCCCCGTCGTATTTCTCGTACTGGGATAATTGCTAATACTAATACAGCACCAAAAGGGTGCCGTCGACGAATCCGATTGGTTGTGTGCAGTTAGTTGATCGGTGGAAAAGATTTGTGTCAAAGGCTGGTTGTCAATATAAAAAATAAAATAGTGGGAAATTAGTTCGAAGAATTCGCTTTAAGCCGCGAGCGTAGTTAGATCAACTCCCCGTAAATTACTGCAGGGTGGTGCTATATTTTGCGATAGAATTTGCGCTGAGCCGCGAGCGACGTCAAGTTAACCACCTGTATATTACCGTGTGGTGTGTTTTAATTCACGCTTAGAAGAGTGACTTTGATATAAAATGAGTGCAGGATGGTTTTATATATTCGTGTGACACCCTAATAATCGAAAGCTTCTTTTATTTTCGGAATACGTGTGAAACATATGTTTCAACGCGCACATTATAGTTTTTGGTGATCGTCAGTTACAAGGGATAATTTACGCGTATTACAGTGAATGCGAACAATAGCGGACGCACAAAAAAATTGTGTACCATTAAATAAAGTTGAATTGCGAAATAGAGGGTATTGTTGCGAATCCGGACAACAACGTAAAATTCGAAGCCCGAAGTTTAAGTCAAGTCATCTTAATATTCAAGGCCTTATCACATTTCATGTTTTTATTTTTCGGACGTCAGCGGTGAATTGTTCGCATATAATATTTGTATACGACATTGGCGTTTAACGTCGGATTTCGTAATTTGCCTCTCATTATACGAGACCCCAGATCAATCTGTATTTCGCAAGTGAACAAACCAGGGATATCGTCATCGTACTGGTGTTTAAGCTAACTATTTTTTTGTATTCAGAACAGTACCGTTTACTTTAGGCTCGGGCATTTACTTTAACCTGTTTGAAAAATCAAAAAATGAATCAAATTGTATAAAATTTTGCATTTTGCTTTTTTAGTCATTGAATTTATTACTAGATAACGAGAATCCGGTTCAACATCGCTAGATGTCGTCTAGTATAAAAACAGTCGCAGGTAGCCGCCCACTGCAAAACGTATGTCTTTTTCTTCGCATGGGCGAGATAGAGATAAAAATATAATACTATAATTTGGTGTAAACCTCACAGGCGACCACTTTTGCAATGGGTGCTGCGACGATTGACGTAACTGTTTTTATACTAGACGACGTCTAGTAAAGGAAAAAACAAACCATTGCATTATTTATCAAGGAAAAGTTAAGTAGTTAAGTTAGTAAGAAAAATGTCCACTTTAATTACCTTAGTACTTAAATTTGACGTAAAAGCAGAAGTTTTAAAACTTTCAGTTCTGATTTTCTATCAATCTTCCAAGGGCTATTGCCGATATGCAATCTTGGATATAACTGAAAATGATTCAGTTCCTTTGTTAGACTGTATCCTTTCATTTTATTTGATATACCGTAAATAAATGTAAGGGGGTCATTTAAGGTGCGTCCGGGGAGAGAACTGTCCTATGGAACTTTGACCTCAAACATTTGAGAACCTGTAGTAAACGACACGTCCGTTATCCTCGAGGCTATCCTGCACCTCTAATGCTTTGTCCACCCACCCAGTTCATTTGATCTTCGTCCTTCGTTGCACTTACCAATGGTTGAGCGCCACTCAATTTCTAACTGAACTCTCTCCGTATGAAACTGAGAAGATTCAAGGGTAGTAAAAACATTACAAATTAATTTAGGTACCAAAAGAAAGAATGGTTTATTCAAACAAATGGCAAACAAAAATTCTCTCCACAATTGGATATCGTAACACACAAAATACTCCCAAATTACGAATTACGTTACTCACAAACTCTTACTAACTTGACTTTACAATTGAAATTTTCCAGTTTAACGACCCCCAATCAAGAATGATCGCTTAAATTGATTACGGAATCTTAAAACAAGTTTCCACAAATAATAAACATTGATATTCCGCTCAATTCTCGCATCCAAAATAGAGAATCTCCCAGGCCGCACAGCTCGGTATATAATTAATTGACTAATGCCTGAAGGGCCTTGCTCTGCTCGTAATCTGCTTCTATAATAGGCACGGTATTTAATTGGCCAGCCGCTTCAGAAGGAAGTGGCCGCCTACAATAATATTCACGTGTCAAACTCGATCATAACTTAATCGAGGTAGCAATGATATTAAATAGGTACAGAAGTTAACAAATTAATTGAATGTGATAGCATATAACCCTGAAGAGGCAAAACCGGAAGTGGTCCCTTTATTGAGGATCGAATCCCGATGTCAAATCTCGTTCCCGACTCGTTGACCCATTTCGCAGCTCGTCATCAGCAGGTAGAAGATTTGTCAAAGATGTTGGCACTCGCAGGTAGCGGTAAATTTAATTCAAGGTTACATGCTCGTACGTCGACAGAATTGTAGGTAAAGCGTCTCCGAAACATAAGCTGATCCTGACAGTTGGACGAGGGGTAAACCACTTCGCGAAATCGTGTCACAAATTTCAATAAAACATGCGAAATGGCGAAATCTTTGTAAGAACTCTGGAAATCACGTTAAAACTTGCGAAATCCGCGAAATCGTTACATTTCTGAGAACTTTATTGCGATTGCGCCTACAGTGGAGGGTGTTTCTTTGATTATCGTCGATGAGCAAAAGGTATTTGAAATCTATTGCAGGTTCTAGCACTCGCCGATTATTTCGCGAAATTCCTAGGACATCTTCCTAATCTTTTAAAAGCTGCGAAATCCCTAACTATTTCGCGAAATCTGCAACTATTTCGCGCAATCCCTTACAATTTCACGAAATCTCTTGGAAGTGCGCGAAATCCCTTATGTACAATTGCGCGAAATCCTTGCGAAATCGCATCGATTGCGCGCAATACTGTCACAATTCTTAATAGTGGTTAACCCCTCGCAGTTGGATTAAATTTTAACGAACATTAAAACTAAAACTTGAACCCTAAAAGAAAACAAAGGTAACACTTTTTGTTGATTTTATAAAATGTACATACCTCTAAATAAGAGGGCTAATTATAGATGTAGCAACAATTGTTGATGGAAAAATTGTCGTATAATAGATGACAGCCGAACCTCAAGAAAAAGTACACTTTAAGTACATGAAATGCAAATGGCGGTACTTACGATAAAGAAGAAAAAGCGCAATTATATCCTCCTACGGATATAAAGGCTAATCCGTTCACTACTTATTTCAGAATCCCCAATTTAATGAATCTAATTGCTAGAGATTAATAAAATATGGATTATGGCAATTAAAATTCCATGCGTTCTCATCTAACGCCTCAGCTATTTAATTAAAATGAAGCACACTTTGTCCCGGTTCACACAAGAAAGAGGAAAATGAATGTGGACAATCGATAACCACAAATCCCGGCGCCGCAAAATGCCCGCTAAAATCGCGTGGTATTCCAACAATAGATGGAGCCATCTATTCAAAAGGTACGAGGATCTTTCAATTAAATATGAAGAAAATAAACCGTTACTGGCTGTCAATACTCGTCCACCAACGTCGTTCTACACACCGAATCGGTGCCATTTGCATCAGTATTCCGATGGCTTTTCCCTGCTCTATGTTGGTGAAATCGTATTTTTGTTTTTTTGTCGATCCAAATCTGGCCTTCTGGATTTTTGAAATTTAGTAACCATTTTAAGGCTGCATATCTCCTTAACGTAAGTTTTTTTCCGTACAGGTAGAAGTGCTTGTTGGATTTTACAGCGGCTAATTCTAATAACTCCCACCGGGTAACACAATGATTTCGTTCCGGCTTAGAAAGCGCCTTACTGAAGTATCCAACAACTTTCTCTTCTCCATCTTGTTTTTCAGACAAAACACCTCCAATTGCGACGTTACTGTCGTCGGTATCCAAAATGAATCCGATCTAGGTTAACACAGTATAGGCGCGGTCGTTAAACGCCTTTTCAACTCCTGAAACGCAGCGGAATCAAAATCGTTGGCATCTTCAGTAAAGTGAGTCAGAGGATTAGCAATTGTGGCAAAACTTAGGTTTTGGGTGCGTTACACAATCCAAACGGCATGATTGTAAAATGCCATAATCCCGATCAGATCGTAAAAGCCGTCTTTTCTCGACCTCCTGGAGCCAGTTCCACTTGCCAATAACCGTTTTTTAAATCCAAATTCGAGAAAAAACTTGGATAACTTGGAAATAAAATCGTTTTCAATATCGGCTACCAAAACGGGGCCCATTTTGGTTCTTGTTTCGTCTACAAGTATGGACATTGGTTTTCCATCCACTTCTGCAGCCTTAACATAGCAGATCGAAGCTTACTCTCTTTCAACGACCTTTTTATTGTTTTCCCCGCTTTTGTAGTTGACTCCATTCGTCAGGTCTTCCACGAGCCTTTCGACATCGCGTCTTGGAATGTCCGATTTCTCCGCAATTCCAACAACGGAATATTTCTTTGTCACCATAGCCTTGACAGCTTGAATTTCAGCAGTAAATGCCGTCGACAATTTGTTTTGAACGGTGTCCTCCTCTTCTACAACTCTAACGCTTTTCTTTATTGCACCTTGAGTTGCTTGGAGAGCTCGGGCCAACGCATAATGTTTTGTTCCATCCTTCTATAATTCTCTTCCATTTTTCTATCATTTGTTCGAGATTTTCCAATTACCCTTCCTCAATCAGCGCCGGTTCAAGGCGCTTTTGGAGAACACCTTTCACACCATCGTTATCACACAGGACTTTATTAGAAAACGGACAGATTAAATTTAGAACCTAACCCTGAATCTTAGTAATCCTAGATCTCAAGAACGCAGAACTAATCCTAAACTAACGAAAGAAATATGGTTCTTAACATAGAAACTTGAATTTGTGAATAAAATTGTTCAGTTCATCTGATGAAATTACTTTCGTTCAGAAACTGTAGTTGAACACTCCATAATCAAAAAAGACTCCAACCGATTGCCTTCGGTCTTCTTATTTTTTACTTCGCAAGATTCTTAGGTCCGTTGAGCCAGCTTAAAAGATAGCGTAGAAGAAAAGTACATAGTTTCATTGTGTTTGTTTCTTGGTTAGGAAAGTTTATCAGAGCAAACTGATAAACTCACATAAATTACATCGTTGGGGGTCTCATGATGAAGTC